TATAATAGTAAAGTATTTTTTTTTTTTTAAGTAAATAAATGAAAAATTTATGAACTCTGCTCCATATTGGAATTATTTATTTGGATATTATTAATATTGAACTAAATGGCAATGCTTACATATAGAGCTCTGACATTTGCTTTTGTGATCTAACCAAGAGATAGATGCTTAGGTCTTATATTGCTCTATTTCATCTACTCAATGCAGAGAAACAACTCAATAATAATACATGAAAATTGCAAAAAATACCTATAATAATAATTTAATATTATGCTTAATGGTTTTATTATTGTTAAAAATAATTGCTAATTGGCAATATTTTTTTGTCATCAACTTTTATTGTTAACTGATTTGCGCTTGTGCGTGTTTGTACAGGGTATAGAGAAGTGGAAAAAAAAAATGTCGTCTAACAAAATGACAAGTCAACTGCATGGCAAATCGTCATGAAATTTACATGCAATTTGCGCAAATGAAAACAAATAAAAACATTCTCTGCGCGTGTGTATGTGTGTGTGTGTGCGAAAGTATGAAAAATATCAAATTGCATAAATAACTAATTAAATTTAAATTTGCAATTTGCAATTTGCAATTTGATGAGCGTAATTTATGAACGTGTGAAAATTGCAAATTGTTGTCGTTTACGCTTTGGGAATGCTTCGCTCCATTCCACTCAACTCTGCTCAGATGTTGCACATTTCAAGTATAAATTGAATATACAAATGAATAATAATAATAAAAAATATAATAATCATAATATGATTTGAATGGGGCTTTTTGCTCAGACTTTAAGCCTGGCAACTTTTCAAGTCAGATTTTCGTTCTTTTCAATAAGTACTCGGGCAAAGTTCCTTTTAAGTCAAGTTTCTAAAACAAAACATTCTCCTTAAGACACTCATGAAAAACTTTTGCATGACATTAATTAAAAATTACACGCTTTCAAAGCTCCTGGGCTCTTTTTTTTTTTTTTTGTCCTTCTCCTACTTCTACTTTTTCTTGTTCTCATTTTTCGTCTAGTTACAATGTCAAGCTAATTAAAAGTTTTGGTCAAAGAGAAAAAATCGTACCGAGTGCGGTATTTTCAAGTTATTAGTAAGTCGTTTGCTATATGGCTTAAAAGGCGAGCCAGCACTGGAAGAGGAAAGAAAGTTGTTTTCTATTTTGTTTTTGGGAAGTAAACCTAGGCAGAAATTGAAAATATTTTCAAGTGTCTTTAAGTACGCGATAAGTAAATAGCACAGAAAATTGTATAAAGTAAATAAATTGGAACGAGTCGAAAGTGCCATGACAGCAAGGGACTGAGCATTGCGATGTGCGAGGCAAAAATGATATAAAAATAGCTGCAAGCCAACACACCCACAGAGTGAGCAAGAGAGAGAGAGAGAGAGAGGGGGAGTGAGGTAGAGAGACAACCACCAAGTGCGCGAGTCTGGAGTATAGCTCTAGCCCCATTATATGCTGTTAAGTTGCCCCAAGTGGTTGATGGCAACAAACTGCATCATTTTCAAATGAAATAAATCAACGCACACAAACAAACAAACAAAYGTAGAAACCTTTGGGTTAACCCCTGAAACCAATTGAATCACGCATAGATATATAAACACACATACATCTACATACACACATAGATGGTGATATTTGTATTTTCAGGGTCATTCCATGGCACAGGAACTGTCTATGCCCTAGCTGACGGGGGGTGAGGGTGCTCTGTGAACAGTGACAGTTGTGCGCATCCCTTGGCCTCGCCTTGCAGACATTGGCCAGCCTCACTTACTTTAAGCTGTATTTCCATTTAAAATTTCACATTTCACTTTTCACATTACACATTTTATGGCTCTCATTTAGGGGAGGGGAGGGGCGGAGGCGGCGTCGGCGGCGTTGTAATGAAGACAAAGGCAATGACGCCCATTGACACTCACAAAAAACTTCACATGTCGCATTATGCAAAGCACCTGAAATGCTGCAACTTTTTGACCCTTTTTGGCGGCAGACCCCGCATCACAATGATCATAATAATAATAATAATAATGATGATGATGACGATGATGGTAATGGTAATAATATTAATAACGCCTTTATTCCACAACAAAGAGCAGATACGGCTCCAGCGGTTTAATTTAATTAAACAACATGAATCCGTTGTATGTGGCCACCTTTTGGCCCCAAAGCTTACTTTAATAAGCCAAGCCACGTCAAGTGTGGCGTCTGCCCCCCGCACCTGGCCCCGCCCCTACACACACACACATATACACTCGTACCCTTCAGCTGGGGCCAAATGCGAGGGATTTACAACTTTTTATAATAATTTTCAATTAAAAAACGTACTTCAGACCCTCGCAGCATTACGATAGAGCAGGCGAGAGCGAGAGAGCAAGTGATAAAGAGACAGAAGGAGAGAGTAGCCGAGTATTTTACATTCTACAATTCTGCTGCTCCTGCTGCTGCTGCTGCTCCTGCTCCTGTTGTTCTCTGTATTTTTGTGTGTTTTTCAACTGACAAATAAGATTTGCATGTCACTCACATACTCACACACACACACACACAGAGTCACACACACACACACATGCACGCACGCACGCACGCCTGAGCTTGGTGTTTCTGTCATATTAACGGTACTCTGCACACACGTGTCTAAAAGGATTTAAGTCCTTTCTCTATAGTCCGCACGACTGCCTGCGTTTCTCTCTCTCCCTCCCCCATCACACTCCCTTTACCTTTACCTTCATCCCGTCTCGTTGCTGCAAATATTTGATTAGCCTGCAAAAAGTTTTAGCAACTTTATAATTTTTAGCATCACAGCCAAATAAAAGCCCGTCCACCTACTGCAGAATTATTATGATTATTATAATTGTTTTTATGCTCGCCACACTCACGCCGGTATATATAAACAATTTGTGATCTGCTCAAAGTTCGGGACACCTTGGCGTACCCAGACAATCTCTGGCGCACAAAGCGCAACTCGCGGCCGCTTGAAAGTTTGCCAACCGCAGTTGAAGTCGAAGAAAAAGCTTAACAGCAACAACAGCAACAACAACAACAACAGCAAGTGGAAACTGCAGTCAACTGAGATTTGCCATGAGTGGGAGGCGTGTGGTGGTGTGGTGGGGGCGTGGCAGCTTGTGCCGCTTGTGCAACACGCACGCCGCACGCAACATTTCATATTTTTATTTTGCAACAAAGTTGCTTCTGCTTCTGATTCTGCTCCTGCTGCAGCTGCAGCTGCAAATGCGTGTAACTTTTTAATCAAATTATGTGCAAATTTTCTTTAGCAGTAATTTTAACTAAAATTTTGCACAAAATTACTGTAAGAACCGGCAGCAGGACGCGCAGCAGGAGTAGCAGGAGCAGCAGGAGCAGCAGGAGTTGCAGCAGTTGCGACAGCGCCTCATTTTCATTTTAGTCGTCATCATCAGCTTGGCGTCTGCTGCTTGGCGCTGCTTGTATTTCATTTTCATGGGCTTTTCATGTGCTTCCCTCTGAATGGAGCATGTATCTGCGTTCGCCCTCCCTCTATCTATCTGCCTGTCCCTCTCGCTCTCTCTCGCTGTCTCTGTCTATCCAGCTGTCTGTCTGCTGTCGCGCTGGCATTGCATAATTTTTAATTGAATTTTAAAGTTTCGGCAAGCCAAGAAAATTTTTGTTTTCATTCGCTTGCCAAAACTTTGGCCTGAATTTAATTAGAAAATGATTTTGACTGCGGCTTTGCCACTTGCAATGCACCACTCAGACTCAACCCAGCACCACCAGCAACCCAGCGCAGAGCAGCAACGAGTCCAGACTTTTCGCGGTCTGGCACCGAAATTAATAAAGTAAATTGCAAATTCAAATTCAGTGCCAATTTATACAATAAATAAATCTAACGGTGTGAGGCGTCGCTGCAGCCGTTAATAAGAGTCGAGGCCATATAGATTACATTACATTAGTAGCCATGTTTATTTCATTTGGACGCGCACAGCGGGCAGCCCTTTCAGAGCCGGACACAGATACGTGTCCACAGCCACAGTCCGGCTTCAGTTCCAGCTCCAGCTCCAGTTCCAGTTCCAGTTCCAGTTGCCCCCTTGGTGCGTGTGCATTTGGTTATTGTCTGCTCTTTGTAATTTGCAGCAGACACATTAATCAAAAAATTGTTACTACCCGTGGCTCTCCGAGTGGTGGTGCACTTGTTAGTCAACAGCTGCCACTGGCCATTGCCCACTGGCTATTGGGCATGCCCCTAGCCATAGCAATGGCAATGGCAATGGCAATGGCATTGTTTTATTTCGAGGTGGTGGAGGTAATTGAAATGTCACCGGAAGTGTTGCTGGCCGTGCACTGTCTCCGGCCGACGACGAAGGGAAGCGACGCACTAAGCCACGACCACGGACATGGCCACGGCCACGTCATGGCCGTCATGGCTGGTCACTACGGAGTCCTGCCAAGGACTCCTGTCCATTTGATACGCTCGATCGCTGCCAGCTATGTTTGTGGCTGCTAATGTGACTCTAACGCTCAATTACGAGTATTTGCGCAATTTTGTAATTAAAATTGCAAACGTGCAACGTTAAAGGGAACGTGCCGCAAAAATATAACGCTGCCCTCTCCACCCTCTCCTCACCATGCCTCTATAGATCTATCTTCGTGCGGGCTAATTAACAACAATTGCATCTTTATAGTTAATTTTGCGTTTTTAAGACGAGACCAAAAAGAGAAAGATAGATTTGTACTACATATATCTATGTATCTATGCATCTATGTATCTATGTATCCATGTATCTATGTATCTATGTATCTATGTATCTATGTATCTATGTATCTATGTATCTGTGTATCTGTGTATCTATGTATCTATGTATCTATGTATCTATGTATCTATGTATCTATGTATCTATGTATCTATGTATCCATGTATCTATGTATCTATGTATCTATGTATTT